ACACACACACACACACACACACACACACACACACACACACACACACAACGGTCTTTGTAGCCATGAGTAATCCTGCCACGATTAGATTCTTAAAAGGTTAAGGGTCAGGTAAAACATGGCAGCTTAATGCCACCGTGCACCGTTTCCTCTCCGTTTTTTGCTCACTCCTTTGATGTTTTGTTTCCCTGTTAGTGCAAGCCCTCCTACTCCATATACACACACACACACACACACACACACACACACACACACACACATCAAAACGACAAATAAGCCTGTCTGTTGAGTCTCTGCGCTTCTCAACATCGACATATGTATGCTGGAATTGTCAACACTGCACAGCAAGATCAAACCGGCAATCTGTCGCTACACTATGGTACAGTTGGGGATTCAAGTGACTGATGACACATAGAGAAATTAACCTCTCTGATGTGGCGTGGGCATTGATGTAGTGTGAAAAAAAAACAACTGACGGGTATATTCTCACCTTTAGCTGGTGACTAACATACAGCAATCGGTCACCTCAACAAAAAACAATCTGACTGCATGTTTATGTCTGCTTAAAATATACAATCCTCATCAGTTTGTGACACATTTCCACACATACTCCAAATACCTCATCAGTGAACCGTGGAGATGGAGCAAAAAAAGTGATTTGAGATGGATTTTTTTCCTCCTCTACATGGTGTATCTGACTGATGCAGTATTTACCGTGGTAAGGTCAGTACCGCACTGATTTGTGAGTGATGCTGGATTTCAGCACCACGGACAGCGCTCTGCCTCGCTCTCTGGCGCGAGGAGAGGAGGAGGAGGAGGGATGGAGAAGGAGACGACTGGTGGTTGTGGTGTTGTTGGTGGTGGGGGTTTCCCTGGCAGATTTCAGGAGAGGGTCTACACACAGTCGTGCCTCCATCGCTGCACATCGCCTACCACCTCCTCCGTACCGGATTCCCATACGGAGGAATACCGTATGTGTGAGATCAGGGCTTTCATGAAATATTGATCGACCCAGCCTCACATAGGATGGACAGAGAGAGAGAGAGAGAGAGAGAGAGAGAGAGAGAGAGAGAGGTATTCCTCCGGACAGCCTTTATCATGCATAAAACCACCACCCTGCCTCCCCACCCCCAAAAAAAATACTTTCCGGTCAACAACCGCTGGATTCGCCTCGCATGATGTTCGCCGATCAGAAACATGACAAAGCAGTAGGCTGCACACACAGACACACACACACACACACACACACACACACACACACACACACACACACACACACACGGGGGGGGGGGGGGGGGGGGGGGGGGCAGATCTAACGCCATCCGCCGCCTCTTAGCCGTACATCGCATCCAAGCGCATAACGTTTCCCAATATTGGTAAGTGAGAGACGCGCCGTCATCGCGTTACATTCCGAGGACCGTCAGGAGGATTTACCCACCAAAACCGAGCCAGAGCCGTTATCATGGGTCATGTTAAACTCCTCGGCTGGCACTGTCATTCACAAAAATAAACCACATCCGACGTCTTACACGCGATTTCTCTGATCATCCTCTGCTCTTAATAGGCCAAGGATGCGCTCATCACCACATCCACCTTCAGCAACTGTCGTGAGCAACACTAAACACAAAAAAAAAAAAAAAAAATCGCTGTGGTCAGCTGGGTGTCAATAATGCAATCTATAGCCCGAGCATCTTTAGCAGCGACACAACACACGGTCAGCTGTAATGTTCAGCACTGACAAGCGAAGAGGGACATGAATTATTCAATACACATAAACTGAGCTCTTGTTCTTCAGCGAGGAAAACGGCTCGACAAGAAATCTAGCCTACACGAGCGGACACAAGCCAGTGCAGAGCCCACATTTACCGCTTCCACCGCATAAGCACTGGATGTAATGTAGAATGTACATTGATGCAAAGCCTACCGGTAAATGGAAGAGATACAGGCTTTAAATCAGCGTCGCCTTCAAGAGGCTGCAAAAGCCAGCGAGAGACCGAGAGCCGCCACCACGCAAAAATCAGCCGACATGTATGAAGCACCGCGCGGACAGCCGGCGGAAATGAATTCATGGAAATATGAAGAAAATGCGAAAGAGCCGATGGAAAAATCTGTCTTTTACCTGTCAAGACCCCGACCCGGATTTGGTGGTCGTGGTTCGTTAAAATCATCCCGTCTGACGCCATGTTCAGCAGCGCTGTCGCCCGCACCGAGAACTCACGGCAGGGCCCCAGAGCCGATCGCATCGAACTTAGCGGGGAGAGGGAGGGGAGGAGGAGGAAGAGGAGGACGAGGAGGAGGAGGAAGAGGAGGAAGAGGAGGACGAGATGGAGGAGGGCTGGGATACAGCAAAAAAAAAAAAAAAAAAAGAAAAAAACAGCCAGACGAGATGAGTAGAAAGTCGAGCAATCATCGGGACACCTACAGATAAGCGGGCAGGATGCGGGGGCCGTTTAAACCGCACACATCACTCAGCTGGCCGCCTGCCACGGTAGTAGTGTGGATCCCGGATTAAGTCTCATGGAGACCACTATTGATTTCCTGTGAAGGCTTTTAGGGGAGACTGAGACGAGCGGCACGTCTTCTGACGCCACTCACTTTTCTCATGTCATTTTGCAGCTGAAGTTTTAGATCTGTGCTGCTTATAGGGCTATAATTTGACCCCTGACCTGATGATAAACAGTATCAGTTCTCCAATATTAAAAGTCGTTGGGGCCCCAAATAAATCCCCCCCCTTCCCACCACCACGATGCACCCCTGTTTTTAGAGATTAAAGGGGCCCCTCTAAGAGCAAGCGGCAGCACCCCAGAGATGTGATGGCTACATCTCAATGCAGAGGCTTAACAGAAGATCCCAGTCTGACCTGTGCAAATGCAACTACATCCCTGGGCAAAAAACCACCGCTGCTATTTATAGACTGGTTGCATGCTTCCATGATGTATAATTTCTCTTGTTTATTCTCATGGAAAGAAAATGCCCATCCTCCAGTTTCTGTTGGTAATCTATCAATATGCATAATTCATTAACACATGTACATGAGCGCAGTTACCCTGGCAAGAAATGGGGCAACTCTTCCAGCATGACTGGTTCAATTCAACAGCGTTGCCATGTCTGTGTCCAATGACCCAACCAAAAGAACTGGCACAGTTTCCACACTTTATATAGTAGCCAATTCCCTCTTCCATTGCGTTACAATTAGAGGTGTGAGTCGGACAAGGACGATATAGACTGAACTGATGGTTTAACCAGAATTGTATTTTGATTAAGTGGCTTACACATCCTATGTACTATTGCACATCATATACACATCAGGAGTTGGACAATCATTCATCTTTTCAAAAAATTCTCCATCAAGAGGGATGCAAGCACTCATTTGGCCCATTCATTTAAGGAAATACGCGTATATGCTTTCTTGCTGATAATTAGATAATTAGATAATATAGATGATTATGCTAGTGCTGTAAAAATGAAGCTACAGTCAGGAGACAACTAGGTTTGCTGGCCTTTTCCAAAGGGAAAAAAAATCCATCTACCAGCACCTTTAAAGCTCACCAAGTGAAACGTTACAGCTTGTTTGTGGTTTTTTGGGGGTTATCGCCTGGCCATGCTCAACCTCACAATCGCCTGGCTCTAGCTTCATATTTAACGTAACATGAGAGTCGCGTGGGTTTCTTTTTGTCTAACTCTTCACAGTAAAGGCCCACAAAACATTAAACTTTTACTTTAATACCAGACTGAAAAGCAGTATGTTTGTGGTCTCTTTGGTTCAACATTTTAAGTCTGTTGCACTTTCATCGCTGGGAGTGGTTTTGTGTGGTCAGACCTGTAACCACGGCCAGCAGTGATGTCATAGGGTGCTAACATACACTGCTACATCGCTGCAGCAAGGCCAGAACTTAAACCCCTGGAGGTCACACCAACGTTTTCAGCTGCTGTTTAGTTACTCTTGAAGAATCAACAACTGTTCTTACATGTTGACTCAGGCTTGCCATGTCTGTGAAAAGAAACAATTTGTTGGTGTAGAACAGGAGATCTTGTTCCCTGTAGCATGGCATCACAACAGCATCCACATCTGTCAGTAATGGAGAGGGCCCAATGCTAAACAGGCCCTTCTTAAGGGTTAGCATGAACAGAGGAGTTGTGTATGCATGTGAGCATGTGCGCATGCATACAATGCAAACAAATGCTCACACACACAGACACACTCCGCGGTCCAGAGCTGGCAAGCTCTCTTGGAAGGCTGGAATTCCCTTGGTGGAGCATGAGGGAGAGCTGAGGAGAGAAGATAGTAGAGCAAAGATGTATGGCGGAGGAAGGGAGGGAGGCACCAGGCTGAAAACATTGGGGACCCCATCTGGTGTGTGTTTGTTTAGTGTGAGTGTGTATGCTTGTGCAAAAGTGCACATTATAATGACGGTGTAATTACCACACCGTCGATCGAGCTGCTCGTTGTTCATGGATAGGTGATGAGGAGGCAAGGGCCATCGCTCTCCCCTTTTCCCCTCACCATCCATCACAATAATAAGGGGAGCCCCAGCTGATGGAGGGAGCTGTAAACGTAAGCTTTCCCATTTTCGTGCTGAGCTCAGGGAAGCCCCTCGTTTTCCCTGAAGGCTACACGCGCAGAAGAGGTGGGGAGGCCAGAGGACAGCAGCTAGCTCTGGGGGTTTGTGTTATGCCACATTAGAGGTGCTTACGCCCCGTCTTTAGGCTGCTGGGACATGTTGCAGAGGGTAGAATCTCCCCGAAAACTATAAGGAAACAAAGCCAGGCATGTACTCACACTCTACATCGATGCAAACACGCTTCACGGCGCATACCTTTTTCAACAACAGAGATTAAAGGAGGTATTTTTGGATGCTGTTTTATTACTTCAGTCTCATGACTTTCCCCTAAAGCCTCTGGGCTTGTGAAGAGGCTGGAAAAAGGTGCACATCCATCCGTTGCCATAAAGCATACAGGACATGGTCGCCAAAGAGCCATAAAGCTTTACTCCCACCGCAATGAGCCCAAGCCTGCCCCCAAAAGAAACACCAGGCTAATGTTGTTAAATGCATGATAAAGCATGCAGCTGCAAGTTTAACAGAGCTCTACTAAGTTAAACATCTCTTTATGGCTCCAACTTTGTACCTCATCATTTTATACGGGTCAAATATTTCGTTGAGTATCAAATTGCACTTGACGTGTGTTTGATTAGCCAACAGTATATCAGTTTGTTTGAGGGAGTGCAGGAGTTTTTGTGATGGCAATGATTGGAGCAAACAATTAGACTTGTCACTCCTTAAACCAATCATATGTTGTCTTGGAGAGGAGCCCTGCTCACGATAGCAGGCTGCTTTTTAATTAAAATAAGAAAAAAAAAAGAAGCAAAAACTAGAAAGGGGAACTTACCCTGGGGCTTATTCGGCATTATCCAATGATGCCTTCTCCAGAATACCTGACTAAATCTGGCCTTAGCTGAAGAGGAGAAGTCAGCGAGGAAGAAAAAAAAAACAATTATCCATCTGCGAATAAGCAACAGACACTAAATTCAAGACTGCTGGGGACAAAGCCCCTTGTTTAGAGACAGTAATTAGGCAACAACATGGCGAGGAGGTTGGGAAAAGTTGGAGGCGGGGTGGAGTACACCTCTGGTCATCCAAGGAGAGAGAAAAATGGAGGGATAGAGATGAGGAAAGAGTAGACAAGAAGGGAAAGAATGAGAGAGCAAACATGAGAGGGAAGGGAGCGTGTGTGTGTGTGTGTGTTAGGCAGCATTCTGATGAGTGCAGGATCTCTGCCGACTCCCACCACCATTACAGCAGCACAGAACATTGCCCCGGGGCTTTGGAATCAAACCCATTACATCTGATACTGGATTTCTCTCTGCTCAGAATTAATGCAATGTGGACTCGCCTTCTCTGAAGCTGGCCAGTGTCGCATAGCATCGCTGCGCAAAGAGATGCACCACAAGGAAAGAGAGGACAGGGGAGGAGGAGAGTGAGGGTCTGAGAGTCTGAGAGGGATACTGGAGAGGCAGGCTCGCTGCAGCCGGAGGGGTCATTTTACATTTACATTTTTTGTTTATTATATTTAAACAAGGTGCTGTCTCTAATAACTCACAGGATATATGGGACTATGTACACATAAAGGGGACTATGTATATGTTTATACAGGGGCCTTGTAGTTCTATTTGCATAATTAACAGACTGGCATTTGAAAAGCAGAATGTCAGCACAAACAACCTTGGACACCAAACTACCCCGGGTCATTTTTTTTCAGCCGTGTAATTGGCTCCTAATGCAGAGGAGTTAAACATAGAGATTTTCTGCCCTTAAAGCAAAAACAAACAAAAAAAATCTCCCCTTGTTAATGGGCTCAGCACTCCCGGATTCCTGTCGGTGATTCTCAGTCAGCTTGGACTTTTGGAAGTTTAGGAAAGGACCATCGCTAAATGATGGATCTCCATTTCCTTTTCAAATTCTCTCTCTTGTGTATACATCTGCAACATGACACTTCCTTCAAATTTACATTGAGACCACTTAATGGATTTAAATGAGGATTGAAAAGAAGGGTTTTGCGCAGCAAGCCTGGCCTTCATTTTGTCTGAGCTGCCCTGTAGTGGAGTGAAGGTAACACGTCTATCCATCTCTGTCTCTCTGCCTATAATGACATTTCTGATGAAATGTTTGTGTAAGCAACCATACTCTATGTGTGTCTACATAGCTAGCTTTGCACATCATGTCTACGCCACGTCCCGAACACATCTCACTCGACAGCTACATGCAATCTCAAGTAAATTGGCAGTATATGAAACTAAATAGAACGAAACTTTATGAAAGGCAGCACCACAGCTGATACACAGTGAGGGTTTGGTTTGTGCAACAGTAGAAGCTTTTTTTGTCAATAAGAACATTTTTAGAGAGTTTATTTATTAAGCCATGCAGAGAAATTGGTATAAATACAAGTAAAAAATAAGTAAAAATGTCTTTCATTGAACTTTTTTGGACCAATTATTAAAATGATATCCTTGTTTAGGGCTATACAGAAATGTTTTGATGAATTTAGCTTCATATACAGACTATGCAAGTCCAATCAAAGTTGAAACTGTATTCATCAGCTGGCTAAT